ATGCTTCCAGCTCCCGTTTCTGCTGAATGACAACTGGTACCTTTCCACTCTCCTTTTTCTCCCTCCTCGCTCACAGACACATAACGGGTATGGCAGTCCATTCTCGCTGCAGCATGGACTACACTGCCCATGAGGCAACATTCTTTAGGCCTATGCCTGTAACACTCTGCCTATTAGCTTAGCACAACAACAACAACAAAAAGGCGCTCTCTCACCCAGGAAACACACAGTCGCAGAGAGAGCACCCTGTAACCATGGCAACCATAACGCTGCTGCCTGGAACAACAGAACATAGCTGTCAAACAAAAACCCAAACAGTCCTGACCCAGGACAATATGAAACAGGAAAATACCGCTGTGTAATCCATTTATTTTAACAAAGTAACTGTATTCTAAATACCACATTTTTAAACGGTAACTGTAATGGAACACAGTTACACTGACCAGTGATCTGTTGTAATAAAGGCTACCTTTAAAATAATTTTGTTACTATGTATTATATGATAAGTTCCACAGACTTTGTTTATTTGTCAACATTTTTATTATTTACAAAAAAAATATTATTTATAATATTATAGGGTATGATCAAATTTATCAATTTTCCATTTAAAATCTACAACTTTATTTATAGTTATTATTATCATGGTACATGTGGTGTTAAGTCTCAGACCAACCCTAACACTTATGTAACTTGAAATTTAGAAATTCTAAGTCCATTTTGACTTACGGGCACAAAAGACAGATATACAAACAAATATGTGTTTTTCTAAATAAAAAAAAGAAAACGTCAGTGGCAGAAGCAAACTTCTATAGCTGTTATTCCTTAGCTTTTTTTAAATTTGCACCTGCAGTGTTAAAAGAGTAAAACTAACTAATTATAACATTAAAAAAAGAATCAAAACTAAAACTAAATCCTGCAAACGTGACAGCAAACAATGAGGCCATTTAACAGCGCCCAGCTCGTTGCGGTTCCGATGCCATTCATCCCGTTTAGTTAAGAGTTTAGCGGGTCTTTTACATCTTAGTTTGAAAGGTTTGGCGGAAGTTGTGCTTATTGACTGAGCCAGACGCCGAGGTTGCCAGCAGCGCGCGGCTCATGAGTCCCTGCGGGCGTTGAAACGCAAAACCTTTCTTGGAAACAGATTCCGGGAACCTCGGTGAGTCCGGCTGAACCGAGCTGCTGTCTCCTCTGCGCCTCACTCAGTGAGGGGAGCGCTTCAGTCGCACATCCAGCGCTCAGCACGCTTATATATATTTGAATCATTTTGAAGGACTGAACCGAAAACTTTGGAGGACCGTTTATTATTATTATATAAATAATATTATAAATATTCACCGCAGGGCTGTTTTTACACTGGTTTCAATCCTTATGGTTTTTCCTGATTTGAGGTAAGAACATTTCTAATATGATTTGGGTAATATGGGTATTTTATTGCGGTATGCATGATTCTTATGGCACTCTTTGTTACAAAGTAAGGTACAAAATAAGGTGAAGAGACGAGTTATTATGAACTGGCGCAGTATAAATAAAGCTGGATTCAGCGTAACTGAATTGGCACATTTACTTGAGTTGTGTGTGTGTGTGTGTGTGTGTGTGTGTGTGTGTGTGTGTGTGTGTAAATATAGATGGGTGTCTTTTTTAAGGTGCTCTTTAACCCTGTTTGTAACCTTAGCGGCAGGCTTCACTGTAAATAAGCACAACGTTTTTCTGACTGATCACTTTTCCCGTTGTCCTGATGGGAATGGTCACTTTCATGATTATAATGCTTCCATCAGTAGGGTGGTGGAGTGTCGACAGATCTCCAACCAGCTAACACTACGGGGAGATTTGGGACAGACATATTTGACATAAGCAACTCAATCCGCATTAATTAAGGGAATATAGTTCAGATGATCTCTTAGTTAACTTTCCTACATGGTCATCCTCGTCTCCACAGGTGTTCTGTCAGTCAGCAATGGTTGTACAGGCGGTGACCATTTTCCATCATGAGGAACAAAGAAAGTCATCCTGCTCGGATCCTGCCCCTTCATCCTGGGACCCAGCAGATGACCTCCGCTGCATCACCACCACCTTCCAGTATCTGCAGACTTCTGGTATGCCAGCCACATTTAAACACTTCTAGTGTCAGTGTCCATGTGGCTATTAAAAAAAACAAAACAAAAACACTAATAACTGAACTGTCTTTTCCCCCAGGTTGGTACTGGGGTCCCATCTCAGCAAGTAAAGCTCGGGAAGCTCTCCTCACAAAGTCTGAAGGCACATTCCTGGTGCGGGACAGCAGCCATCCTCAGTACATGCTGGCTCTGTCAGTGAAGACTCGCTGTGGACCTACCAGCGTGCGTATAGAGTACAGCAAGGGCTGTTTCTGGCTGGACTCTGTCTCCCCTGGCCTGCCTCAGCTGCAGTCCTTCCCAGATGTTCTCAGCCTTGTACAGCACTACACCAGCTCAGGCCACGCAGCACACGACCAGACATCTAGTGACATTCACCCCCAAATGGAACCTGACGCTTCCCAGCACGCAGCTAAAGAGAGCGGAGTACCCATGAAGCTGAAGCACCCGCTTCACAAACTGGAGGTTTTCCCTTCTTTGCAGCACCTGACACGCCTCACCATCAACAGGCACACTAACTGCCCCAACCAGCTGCCCCTCCCAAAGCCTCTGCTCTTCTACTTGCAGGACTATCCTTTCTCTGTATAATACCTGCCCCTCAGCAACAGGACAGTCAGACTGGAATATGGTCGCGTCGTTGAGCCGATTCTGTGAATCGGGGACTCTTTGATATATTTATGTAGAATAAACCACTCTTGACCTCACTGCTCATGAATGAGCTTATTCTTACTGCACTGCTGCTGGTATTCTTCAATAAATATTCAATTATTTTTACATGCCGACCCCAGCTACTGTGAAAGTTGCAATGCCAATATGTGAGTTGTTTTCTTTCCTTCTTTTTTTTGATAATGTGGCCCAGTGAGAAGAAAGCAGCTCCTAAACCAGCTGTTTCGAGTGTTCTTCAATAAGGCAGCCTCCACTTATAAATAATAAATCAGTGAAGAAAACATCTACTCTGTGCTTTGTTGCTCTAGCAGAGATGACAGTAACAATTTGGGGTTTCGTAACTTAAAAACAGTTTTTCTCCGTGCCGGAGCCCAGTGGAAGAGATTAAAACTCCCAAATATACACAAACAGATGTGTAAACTGCAAAACGAGACAAAACAACATGTGAGACAAACAAAGGAACCATGCAGAGTCTGTACCCAGAGTTCTGCTGTCAATTCAGTGTTTGCATATAATGTGATGTGGACTTCTTTAGTGTTCACAATCCTGACAGAAATCTGATATCTTTCATTTCCAGAAAGGAAACATAAACGAATCAAATGCTCTTCAACGAATGCAAAAGCCAACAAAGAGGGACTGTTTGTAGCTTGTAGAAGAGGATTATAAATACCATTTCTGAGAATTAAATCTCGGAAATGTTTGTTTTTCCAGCTGTTGTGTGTGTGTGTGTGTGTGTCTTTCCCTCCCTCCCCTCTTCTGAATTACTGGTCACTTGAGCACACAGATAAATGTGAGGTATTACTGTTTTCATGGAAGCGCATCTGAGCTCGTTTCCACGAGTTGGAACTGAGCAGCGCAGAAAAAGCCTCTTATCAGGATTAGAGTAATCGCTGCGGTTATTAATACACTGCTGCACTGCCAGCTCACGCTCTGTTTGTGTGCCTTTCAGCTCCAACCTGCCGTCGAAAGGCTTAAATCATTTCTTAGGTCACAGTTAAATGATCGGGATAAGCAGAACAAAATCTCTATCGAGATCACATTGATATTTATCAGAATGAAGCTCTTTCATTGGGATTTACTGCAATATTAAATGAAGCCATGTGCCATTTAAGAGCTATATGCTGATACAGGAGGAGAGCTCAGGTTGAAGTAAATGTTGCAGCAGCTCAGTGTAGAAATACTCCATTACAATTTAAAATTCTATTTAAGTAGTGACTAAAGTAAATTAACTTTAGTTTTTTTTAGATCAGACCATTAATACTCATGATACAGATAAGTCAGTCTACAGTAAATTCTTACTGGCAGCTGGATGTCAGTAAAGTTACTGTAAAAAGTGACAGTAAAAACTTTACTGTAAACACTTTTTACAGCAAAAAAAAACCTTCTGTAAATGCTCTAATTGCATTTACAATAAAGTTGCTGTAATTTGATTTTACAGTAATTTTTCTGTAATTTCTATATGCAGTAAAATTACTGTCATTGAATAAAGATCAGACTTCTACTATTTAATTTTTACAGTTTTATCTAGCTGCCATCATACATGCCAATACTGATAGATTGGTAATATCAATCAGTCGAGCTCGAAACAAAACCCCAAGGTTGCCCTATTGGAAAGTGAACTGCTTCCTCTGCTTTTGGCTCCTGCCTTTAGGGGTCGCCACAGTGGCTGATCTGCCTCCATCTCACTTCATCCCCAGGATCCTCCTGTGTCATCCCAACCCTCTGCATATCCACCTTGACTATATCCATGATATAGTGTGTGTGTGTGTGTGTGTGTGTGTGTGTG